CTCCAGACGCAACAAAACAAGCTCCTGCGACTAATGACCGGCACATCTTATTTCGTGCGGAACGATAAGTTACATGATCTGGATTTGGAACGATTGAAGACGTCTCCCGAAAAGCAACATAGTTTACTTTTGAACTTGTTAATAGGCACAAAAACCACCGGTAGGTTCAAGAACTTAAATAAGGAGGGTTTCACGCTTTGGAAAGACACGCGATGCGCTTTAAGCGCACAATAATAGTTTTGTTATGCCTTTAACACATATGCAGAAAGTTTACTGTGAGATGATCTTTCAAAACTGATTTCTTTCTAACCTAATAATAAGAATCATTTGCGAGATTAAGCAATCTGCGTTCGATATTATTGAGCATCTGCACAATTCATTAATAATAATAAAAATAATAAAGAGATTTTGGGCACTGTACTCCGTTGCCTAATAGCTTATTTTTGATTTTTTTATATTATCTTAAACTGTAATTAGTAAATAACGGTCCCCGAAAGGATAAGCTGTTAATTTGTTAATTTATAAGCACAGATAGCTCAGCCTTAAAAATTTTAATATTAAGTAAGACGATGTAGTAGAACCCTTTATTGAATTAAACGCACCACCCAAAAAGATTTCAGCGGAAAGAACGCTATTATATTTTTTACGCTGCTTGCACGCACGCACATATAAACGTAAAATAAAAAAATCTTAAAAATTCAAATTTTATTGGAAGCGCATTTATCCGTGATGCACCATTAGAGCCAATTTAGTAAACGCTCATAGCTAATACTTCATAAGGTCAAAAATTGCTTTTATACTGTATAATAATTTTAATTGACCCAGATTAGTTTTTAAGTTTACATTGTTTATTTTGTCTCAAATAAATAAATTGTGTCAAATTTTTTTGTAAACGGTAGAAAAGTTAATTTCTCTTTTCTTGTATTTTTATTAGCTATTCTCAGGTATTTGATTGGTTTACTCAGAATATTTTCCTGTAAAAAAATTAATGGCCTGTGTTGTATTTTGTTTCTCTTTTTGTTTTTATGGTTAGTGTATTTAGTACTTAATGCATTATACTATTTATTTTTGCATTCTATGCTTTGTGTTTATGTTCTATGTTTCTTTTTTTTAAGTTTTTCTTTTTGCGTTTTGTGTTTTCATGTTCTTGTGTCCTTAAATTTCGCGTTGTAAACAGTATCTTAGGTGTTTCTGTATAGTTTATTGTTACGCCTCACTTATTTGAGGGAATTAGGTTAAGCAGTAAGTGTAAATCACATCTGTAGAACGCCAGTATTATAGATAAGAATTAAAACCAACCTCCCGTTTATTGGTTCTCGATTCTCTGATGTTAATATTTTAATTTACTTCTACTTTGCTAACAACATATTTTAAATTTTTTCTAATTTATCCTTTGTCAGCACGCGGAATCTAACGTCCATTACCATTTTAGTTAATAATAAGTGTATAATTAGACGAATGAATTGCACGCCCCAGTCTTGTCCTTTTCTTTTGGGTGCAGTTGCAGGATAGTTCGATAGACTTGCTACCTCTTTAACACCATATTATTGTTATAAACTCTACAAGCGATTTGAGAGACTGGGCGTGCAGTTCATAGACTAAAAGCTAACAAAATCTCAAAATTATATGTAATTGAGAATCCTCCCGACCATTTTTAATTTCCCCGAAAATTTCATATTTATGTATAAAAGCGTACAAACCTAAAATAAAGTCAACCCGTATTCTTTGTTTCTTTGTGTCGTTTTTAATACATTCGTATAATTTTACATATATAATAAACTAAATATGGTAATTTGCTGACAACTAAGTTTAAACACCTTTACCTTTGCTGGACAACAAAAAAATTGTTTTTATATCAGAGTTAAATGCTCTAAGAAATGCACGAATGCAGGGAGGGAAAAATCATTACAAATAGATAAAATAATGCTAAACTTGTTGGAAATATAAGTAAAGTGGGTTACATTAGTTATATTCTTAAGGTTAATAAGTTCCTGTCTCTATTTAATAAGCTTTTAAATTCAAGTTGCAAATAAAAATTTTTACTTTTGCTTTTCTTTTCGTAGGGTTAAAAAAACAGTTTTTACGCACTTTTGCACTCCATAGTATTTTCAGTTCATAAAGTTTTGTGCACACAGTTTAAGTTAAATATTTGGCGCAATTTTTTTTTATATTATACTAATTTATTGTAAAATCAAGCAGACTTTTCATAAGTTTACATAACCTCAATTTTTTCATATGAAAACATTATTTTTATAAAGTTTTATAATTATATAAAAACTTAGGCTATAAAAAAGTAATGTTTACAGCTGATTTTCTCCAATTAAAAGAGAGTTCGTTTTGTATTATTCAAACAGTACTGAATATAGCTGTCATCAGATTTTCTTTAGTAGTAACTATATTACATTAAATAGAAATTGAAACTTACTCTTCGAAAAACAAGGAATTGGCCAAGACTTTAGGTACAAGCAAAAGTTGCAATAACCAGTCATATAACCTTTGTAATTTTAAACAGTGGCGAGTAAAAAAATTATTAGAGAAAAAGAGGAGGAAATATACTTATTAAAAAAAAGGTGTTACGAGTTGGAATTACTAGAAAATAAACTTATAGTAGAAAAGAAACGAAATATAGAATGTTTTAAAATCAAGGAGGTCTCCACTTTACACACATTTTTCCAATTTTATGGACAGAAATAATAGGAGGAAGAAGTATTTTTGTATAACGCCTTATCCATCGTGGAGAGCAATTTAAAAATAGCGACTATATATATTAATCATATTTTAACCGCCATCGCACCCGGGTTTTTGTTATATACATCTTATTTATTAACAAAAAAATAAATGAAATAAGCAAAAGTATAGACTGTAAAAATTCATGTCTTTATATAGCCAAAAATTTAGCTAAAAAATTTTTTATAATTTTTAAACTATTACAAGCTATAGCACGTTTTAACGAAAATTGCATAACTGTAATCTGTAGTAAATAACTTTAACAAATCATAATTTTTCTTTAGCAAAAAAGAAGAAAATGAAAACTCAAAATTCACTTCAGAGTGTGTTCAAGAAATGAAAAAGGAAGACTTAAACAAAGAAAATGTTGAGGGCGTATTTAAGAAAGAATCATACAGTGAAAAAATTGTGGAAAAACCCGCTGTTAACAAGTCAAATGCAAGGCTAATAAGTCCATTGAGGTTTTCTACACAATCCCCCATCATACACCTTAAACACCAAAGTTGGTTAGCAGCCCACACGGGTTTCCGATAAAAGTGAAGACAGCTTCTAGCTCACCTTTCATAAAAATATTTATTCGTTAAAAACGTTTACTTTTAGTTACGAATAAGATTTTTTATGTAATTTAAGTCTGCAAATTGTGCAGGTTAGTGAGAATAGTAATAAAAATTTTTGGAGTTCCTTTTATAAAGTGATATTAAATAACAACAAAGACTCCTACTTTCCACTATTTATGTTCTTTTGGTAAACTATTTACCATAAAACAAGCGAGTTTAACATAAATTTAAAGTAATGTTACAATTGGCTTATATTAAGTTTTTATTTAAATTATTGTCAGGAATATAACAAATATAACTTCAAAGACTGAGCGAATAGGTAAAATTTGAAAAAAAATTATTACAAAATAAAATTGTTTTATGTCTAAAAGAACGAGGACTTCTAACTGAAAAAAAAGAAGACTTTTCCCCGCATAAGGATAAGAGTTTAGAAAAAAGTACCAAGATTATACTTCTCAAATATAAAAAGCGTAAAAATTTTATTATAAAAGTGAAGGATCAAAAAAGAAAGGACCGGTGCCGCAGAAAAACTAACAAAGTGGTGTGTTATAAAGAAGAACCCATAAGCAGGTTAGTTATTAAAAAAAATTAATTTTTTTTTATAAACTATTCAAGTATACAGTTACCTAATAAGAAAAATTAAAAAGAAACGTTAAGGCCTTTTAAAAAAAATTATTAAAGGTTTAATTGACTTATTTTATTTGTCTTATATTGCCGTGCTATTGCTATAAAAAGGGACATCCCAGTGAGTTATATATAGTAAGTTAAAAAAAAATAGATCAATGATAAGAGTGGTAAGAGCAAAGAATCTTGCAAACTAGGATGATCAGAGGCAGGATTTATGTAATAAATTTAAGAATATCGCTTTTTACCGTTAAGTATATTGTATGATAGGGTTTCCAATTATTAAAAAAAAGCAAGCTATATAAAATTTTAGGAACACGCCTTCTTGTTTTTCTTTACGTCCAAGAAAAACAGCAGTGTATTTAAAAAATTTGTTAAACTGTTAAGTGTTTTTTGCTTAAGTCAAATAAAAATTTTTATAAGGCGTCTCTTTGTCGACCCCACAGCTTTAAAGTTTCTAAAACTAATATATAAACGTCACATAAAAAATATGATTTCTATATATTGCAAACTATAATAAAGTCATACATAGAAGTAATCAAAGCTCATAAATAATTTATAAAAGCCCTTCGTCCCTATACCTATAGTGCGCCAGCCAATTTTTTTTAATTTAAATTCATTGTTATATGTATGGCACTTAGCTGTTTAAGAGTTGGAGTCACAGTTGTTAATTCTCTTGGGTGCAGGATAAAACAAATTATAATTGAGTAAATTATATATTTATATTCATTATGTCCCAAGCAGTAAACTATGACCCTTCCGTATTGCTGTGTTATTATTCAGGTTAGTCCAACGAAATCTCTGCTGGTAAACACAGTAGAGAATAATTCTTGTTCAGCAAGCAGAACGTAGTAATAAGCTAACATTTAAGTAGAGAGAGGGTATACATCAGTTCTAAATATAATATTTTTAAAGAGCACCACTACACTTTTTAAGTTAAAGTAAAATCTAAGTGCAAAATATGATTAGTTTTTCTATTAATATTGTTTAACTATGATAGATTAACTTTAGTTTTCTCGTTTTTACAAATGTAGTAGTCTTTATGTAACTCCGGATGTTAGTGATCTTACGAGTAAGCGCGCATTACCCACGCACACATCAAAGCGGTGCTTTAGGTAAGATTGATAATATTAAAGAAGACAATAGTAATGGCTATGGCGCTCAATTTGTGAAGCTAATCCTTGTGCAAAACTCGATCAAACGCCTTTGGGCATTAAGAAAGACCGCGCCTATTATTGCCTTTTTTTTTTTTAAGTTGAAAGCTTAGGTCGTCTACTCTGTTAAGCGAAGGAGCTGTGGAGTCGTGGCGCGTTCTTAACGAAATCCAAGTTGAAAATTTTGCAGGGAGTGACTTGCGACAACAATTGCTTTCAAGCGGCGCAGTATGGCCGCCTAGCTACTTTGCCAACGACTGACGAGAGACTTATAGGTCTCTAGTTGCTTAGCGTAGATGCTGACTATGGTTTCTTCGGGAGCATTACAACAGCTGCCATCTCCCAGTGCAATGCCGCGAGCCATCGAAGAGATGATGAGGCAGTATAGACCTCCTACTGCCACCACTGGTAGTTGCTTCAACGTCACGTTGGTGATACCGTCAAGGTCAGGCGCCTCCCGTCTCCATAAAGCGTTAACAATCTCCACGACTCCGACTATGGCAGAGGCTTAAGCTGTTCCTCGGCATCAACGAAGAAGTTTAATTCACAACTTCACTAGCAACAATAAGCAGGTGGCACGCACTGAGAGCGAGGTGAGCAACAATAAGTGTCGCTTTGTCAGCATCTTTTTCCATTACAAATTTGCGGTCTCTCATAGTAGTAAATGGTAAACGAACTCGGTTTTGTATTTCCTAATAAATGTCCAGGAAAAGAAGCGTTCCTTACCGTTATCATCCGGTATATTACTTAACTTCCTCCCCCACAATCTGTTATGGTGCGCCAAAAGCTCTTTCCTAATATACCCTTGTAGTCTATTGAGTGCTAATTTATCTTCGGGGCGATTCGATACCGTGGTCACTTGAATAAGGCGTCGTTGCTCGCAGATAAGGGACTTAAATTCATCAGGCAAGCGATTGACGTGGAATTCAACTTCAAGTGTTGCCGTGGCGGTGTGGTACACCATGTTCAAAGCGCCCTTGGATTCAGCAACAGCAATGTCAAGCAGGGTGGGCTCCAGAGTAAGGCGGAATCTGTTGAAAAACTATATTAAGATCCTCGGAGTTTGAGCCCGGTCAGTAAAAGTACTGATATATGTACTCAGTAACTCCTTTTCGTCGCTCAAATCATACAGAACTGACAGATGGTCCGACGAGAGTTCGTAAAGAGCTTCCTAGCCTTTGTTAATATGAATACTTTTTAAAACGGGGATATCTAGTACGTCTAGTACCCTGCCTTTGCCATGTGTGTCGGGCGCTGTGGTCCTAAGACGCTCAGTCTGCGCTCGTCGGTGTTAGAATTGAAAATTCGGCCATTTGGGTTATCAACACGACTGCGCCAGGCGGGATCGCTTACAGTGAAGGACCCAATACAACAATTGAGGAACAATCTGCGGGCGTTTTATAAAAATCTGAACTAATTTAGTCGTCATATTTTTGCAACGATAGCACTAAATAATTTGGTATATCTTTTAATAAATGTAGTTGGCTAGGGAATACCTGACAAGATGACCAAAATATCAATTTTTTTCTGAAGTTTAGAAATACGGTCGAAAGAAGCATCTCAGAGGAATCGTTTGTACGAATATTATGAACAAAACAGAGGCCGTGGAAAATCATTCACTTACAAACTTGTACAAATAAAATAAAGGGACTTGTAAAGCCGTCAATATCACCAAGCAGCAACTCCAGAAAGTTAAAATTTTTTTTGAAAACAGTGGTTTGTATTCTCTTCGCTTAGCCGCAAGAAAATTTGGCATTAGCCTATCTTCTTTGTGTAATATTCTCTAATATAAAACAAAAAAATATATAGATAACGGGGAAAGCAAGCCATTCCTAAGCATTCAGAAAATTAAGTTAAACTTGCAAAACCAAAGTGCGATTTGTTGCAAATATTTTTAAATCATGCCGTTATTTCTGAGAACGAGTCATATTTCACTCTTTTACATACTAATATTATGAAAATGCTGGTTTATACAAAAGTGTACCTAAAATGACTGTAATAAACGTAAGTTAATTCGATATATTCATGACAATTACCAAAATGATGAATAAGCATTCTGACCCGATTAAGCCAGCTCAGATTATGCTAAGATCGTGGTTAATTGCTTGCGATAAGAAAACATAAGCTCGTAGAAATAGAGGGCAACCCAACTAATTGCCATGAAGCTCGGCCCATTGAAGATTTTTGGTCATTGTTAAAAGGAAGAGTTTACGCTAGAGGGGGAAAACATTACGCAGTTGATAACACGGAATACTGCTTGAAGAAAATCAACGTTGATGCAGTACAGAGGCTTTCTGAGTCCACTCATAGAAGAATTAAAATTATAAAAAGAAACGGCGTACTTGAAGTTCGATAATTTTTTTACTAATTGTTAAAATATGTTGATAAAGTTTTGCATTCTAACTTCATTTAATTTAACAGAATGTTAAACTGTAGTCCAGCTTTTTAGATAACACCCGTTATAAACCTTCCAGCTTAGCTATAGCTGAGACGGTGCTCGTAACGCTATTTGAATCTTTGTAATAATCGAAGTGGTGAATTTTACAAAAATGGTTAACAAGATTGCACAAGTCTTGCTGTACCATGTAAGGCCTATAACCTAATAACCTCTACGGCTGTTGCCATCGCACTTTTGCCAGACTGGAAGATTTCAAGAAAGCTATTCCACTATGATCTTTAAAGAACTTCCCTAAAGATTTTAATTGGGCTTGTTGACGGATTTCATAACTACTAGAGGATATCTCTAGAGAGCTAAGACTAAATGTAGTCTAATTCTTAATGGATATGCTTGAATTTCTTCGCTTGTATAGTCTTCGTCTTGATGTTAGCTGCTTTACATTAATTTTTGTCCCAAAGTTTTAAATTTAAATACCTTTAAGTTGTTTTATATAGCTTGAACATTGTTAAATTTATTTTTACAATTATTATTTTTGTTATTAATTGTTAAATACAATAGCTTAAGCAATTAAAGCATTGTAATAATTAATATACTTATGTAAACCATTAAAAAATATTTTATCACGACTTGTAGGGATACTTATAACTAATAACTTCGATAAAGACCTCACCAGTATTTAGTTTAAGTACATCTAGTAGTAGCTTCACTCGCAAGCGATTCGGTTATATATATATAATTTAGGGTCCTTCCAAAGGTAATGGGAAGGCAATGCCGTGATATTATTATATTGATAAGCTAAAAAATATTAATATGAAGATTTTTCCCGTATTTAAAATTGCACGATGCCAAAAATGTATGTATGGTTTGAGTAAATGGCAGCTAAGTCCATAATATTGTGAAAGTTTAACTACTTCCGTCTGTCTAATCGTTATCAACACAAACTTAATACATTTTATAATATCTAAAAAATTACGGTAAAATAGTCCTAAGTCACTACAAATATATATTTTTAAAAGGTTTTAAGTATTAGATTAGTCTGAATATTGTAAATAAAATCAACTTTTCCCTGAAACATATAACACCGCCATCGTTAACTTAACAAAGCGATCCTATAAAATATTATAACTATTAGTGAAGGTTTATTTTACTAAAGTTAAAACCTTTCAACTTCTTTTTCTTATTTCAATAGGGTTGAATGTTATTAAATTACAGTAAACCCAAAGTACCACTTTAAACTTTCACTTCTCTTAAAAACTTATAAAGTATCTTAGTGCGTACTTGTCCTTGCAGAACTAAAAACTATTTTTTTTTAATAAAATAATAATAATAACACAAATTGCTCAGAGGTATTTTTTCATAAGAGAATGTTGTATTGCGCGATAGTTTACAATAATAAAGCCAATATATTATTTTTTTAAAGGGACAAAATTTTCAAGTTTCATTGCTGTTTAAAGTAGCCCTCAATCTTTACTGTTGTCATTGGGTAATCTGTTAGAAATAAAAAAAGATAACATGGCATGCACAGAAATAAATAAATAAAGAAAGGAATTGGTTGATAACAAACATTTAAATCTTATTTTAAACTATTTTTATATTTTTAGCTAAAGATTAAAAAAAAATGATGATTATTAAAAAAGAGGAGCTAAAATCTGCGTCTTGGCTTCTAATCTGGCTTTCATTGAACGTAGGCTTGACGCTCTTAAATAAGGTAAGGGATTTTTTTGCAGTAATTATAATTTTTACTTTATTAATTTTTCTGTAAGGCATGTTTCATAAGCTTTCCCTACGCACTTACAGTTTCTTTTGTTCATTATCTGTGCTCGGCTTTGGGCGCTGCAATTTGCATGAGGTTCTCATTTTTAATTTTTAATATAAAAATATTAATTTTCGAAGTTTGTAACTTTTAGATTAGGAAATATCGAGAAAACTTATCCAGACTCTCTAGAATACCAAAAATTGTTACTCTTCAGTACTATTTTCAACATAAACATTATATTAGGTAAAGAGCAGTAACTTTTCCACAAAAATTTGAGAGATTATTATTACAGTTATATGTAAAAGGAAATTATGAAAGTATTAAGTCGTCATTTAGTTATAAATAAAATTTATCGTTGATTATAGGGAACGCCTCTATCAAGGTAGTTTCAGTGGCTCTCTCACAGACCGTTCGAGCCATTTCTCCTGCGACTACGATGTTGATCTCATTTTTAATTTTAGGAACAACTTTTTCTCTAAGTATATATTTCTATCAATATATTATTCTGTATTGACACTAATCTAAAGTAAATTATTACAGTTTTGATTAATAAAATATATAATCTATGAATTCTTATTCTACTATTACTAAAAACATAAAAAATATAATAGTTCTAATAACTTTTTTATATGAATTTACGAAGAATTCTTATATAACTATTATGAGGAAATTATAGTTAATGATCTCATCATTTAGTATTCTTTTTGACATTAATTTTTATTTATAAGTAAACTCAACGGTTTTGAAAAAATTTAAATTTATAAAAATTTTTTTTCGAGGGATTTGGATTTCTGTTGTTCCTGTTATAGTGGGAATGATTTTGGCTTGCTATGGAGATGTAGAAAACATTACAATCTGGAGTTTGACGATTTTAATTTCTGGTTGCTTCGCTTCGGGTCTTAAAATAGTCATGACTAAAGTAAAAAAATAGTTAATAATTTTTAAAAGTTTTATAAAAATTTAAAGAAATATTTTAGGAGTTGAACTTATTATGATACTGAAATTTTTAATACTATAAATATTTTTAAAACAACTTTGTAAAATGTGTAATTTAATTTTTATTCAAAAAATTTAAATTTTTCAATAAATTTTGATTTTTAAGTAAAAAAAAATACTACTTTGGTTAAAATTTTATATAAAAAAGTTTTTCGTTTACAGCAAATATAAGTCCAACATAATCTTTTTTTCAAAATTTCTGTAAAAAAAAAAAGTTAAAATTTTATTAATTATTTAATTTTTATATTTTTTTGTTTTTAATAATATAAATAAGAATGTGGAAAACCACAAATTTTAATTTTATGAATTTTAGTAGAATTTATTTTAAAAGCACTTTTTTTTTCAAAATTAAATAAATTTTGAGAAAAAGGAGAACATGTTTAATTATTGAATCATTTTGAATATATATATAATAATATGAGAAACTAAACAAAAGTGTAATTTTCATTATTTATTATGTAAAGTTGAATTTTTGAATTTTTTCATGAATTTTAAAATATTTAGTTATTCTTTATTTCTTAATTTTTTTTTTAAATATACTGTTATACGTGAAACGATATGAATTAATTTTTTAAAATATTACTTTAAGTTGAATTTTCTAGATCATTCACTTTTTTTTATAAATTATCTAAATTTAAAATTTATAATTTTATATTCTTTTTATTATTTTTAAATTATATAAATAAACTTACTCGAGCTCCTGTTATAAAAATGTTACTTTGCAGGTTTATAATTTTAATTTTGCCCCAAATTCTGTCTGTTATATATTTTGTGCCTTCTGCCTTGGGCGTTGTAATTGGTCTTTATTTTTTTCATTATTTTTACTGAATATTAATTTTTTCATTAAAAGTATTTTTCATTTAATTCTGCGCGGGTAACTTAAAAGCTTCCCATTTTTGCTGCAAGACTTCTTCTAACCTTGTTTATTGCCTCATCGGTTTTTATCGATGAATATTTTCACTTTTATTATTAAAATTTTAATTCTCAACTTTACAGCTGATTAATTTTTATTTACTTATAATTTTTTAAATTATATCCAATTATCTTTATTAGTATTGATAAAAAAAATTATGAATACATTAACCAATGGCGTATCAGAGTAAAAAAAAATCTGCGACGAATTAACTTAACCAAGTACTATTTTAGTTTATTATAATATAGTGTTACAAATAATAATAAAACCAAACCAAATAATTCCTTTACAATTTTTATACACTCCTTATTAAAGGTATTTTTTAAATCTTATAAGGATAACTTTAAAGCTGACCAATTTTGTCCGCTTAAAATTTATTTAGTGTTAAAAAAATGAGCCGCGAATTTTATTTATTTAAATTTTTGTTCCACTTTTTGGCGGTTTTTTCTGTAACTTCGTTTATACTTCTTTTATATAACTTTTTTTTAATAATCATTTTATACAGTTTATTATTGGTCAAATATATTATTAACATTTAATAGAACTTTTTTCAATTTTTTATATTACTAACTTTATAAAGTGGTTTTATTAATAATTATAATAAATAGTTTTTATATATACAAGCTTTTTATTTATTAAAGAAGCTAGTTTTTTTTTGTTTTTATAGTATTTCTATTGCCATGTAATATTTGTATTTTTATTTATATATTATGTTATAAATAACTTTGTATATACTGAAAATGATTTAAGTTTTTCATCGTAACCTTAATGTTTATGGTTTAATAATTAATGGTTATTATCAGAGATATTAGTTTATTATATTTTTTATAAAATTTTATAAACTAGTTTTTAATGATTACTTATTACTTATTATTATATCATAAATAAGTTTTTTCATATTAAATCATTAAACAATATTTTTTTTTATTTACATGGAAACTGTGATTTAGTATTATAAGTAGAGAATATAACAATTATTAGACTAAAAATTCAATTGTATCATTTTATTATGATTGTTATTGACGGACTTTAACAGACTTTTATCTAATTAAGGTTTTGCTTTCAGGGTCACATCGTTATCATCCTTTTGATTTGCTGCAAAAAGGTCTTCTTCATTATAGTTTAAATTTTTTTCTACATTTCATTAAAAACAAATATTTTATGGCCATAACGTTTTAAAATATTCTTCTTATTGGACTGTTTTTTAAAGTGCTAATATTATTCGTCTAGTAAAAGCTTGTAACTTTTTTTAATAGTAATTTCCTTTTCAGTAGTAACAAATTGAAACAGTATTATACACGTTCTTATTGGTTGTTTTAATAAAATTAAATTTAATTTTTCTATTAAATACTATATTACAATAATCTAAGTGATCTAATTTACTTAATTTTTGCTCTGCTTTACCATTATTTGCTTCTAAATAATACTACAAACAACAAAATATATTTTTATTGTCTCGTTAATAGGCTTATTTTTAAGCCTTTAAAATTGAGACCAAATCGTTACTACGAAGTTTTTTGTCGGCTGTCAACTAAAATATTAAATTACCTAATAAAAAGGAAAGAGTACAGCTTATTGTTTTTCCATCCCTTATAAAGTCTAGTGATTTGGATGGTATTAACCTTTTTTTTCTATTTAACGCCAATAAAAGAAAACTAAACGGTAAATTCAGCCAACTACTATAAGAAAAAATATTTCTAAATAAATGCATCGGATAATGCTCATATATTAATTATAATTTTAAAATACCGTTTTGTAACAAAATGGAACAAAATTTACGAAAACTTTACTATATAAAGAACAATTTGCTACAAATTTTAAATTTTTTTAAATTAGAATGAGTAACTCGTATCATATAGTAGTGGTTCGTACCATTTTGTTCCCACACGAGCCAATAAGCATTGGTCAAATGCTTTTTATAAATATTGGGTAGCGAATATAACTGTGCCAAACTTAAGCACTTTCACTATTTCATAGTATCAGTTTTTTAAAAATTACGCCACACGCTTTATTTTTCCGAATTTCTTCTTCATTATTATATAAAACTAATAAAATTTATTTCGTTTCTATGAAAAAAACTTAATTACTACTTTTAAAAATAACAAAAATATTATAATTATTATTTGTGTTAAATACTTTTTATTAATCGTCTAACGGGCCAATAAAAAAGTTACTCCCCTCTGTGCCATCCAATTAACTCCTGTTATTTTGTACCTGGAATATTCGGGCTTAAGGTACAATAATTATAATAATAACAATATAAGTAGTGATTATAATTATATTAATAATTAAAATTAAATACAAGTTTTTATTATTATTATTATTAGTCTGTATTGATTTTTTGCAATTTAGCGTCATAATAATAATTATAAAAGTAAAAATTATATATAAGATGCGAAAGATGATTTAATAATACAATTTGTATTTAGAGTAGATGACTCGGTAAATTTGAGTCAATGGATGGTTTTCATAATTATTATTCTTATTCTTATTCTTATTATTATTATTATTATTATTATTATTATTATTATTATTATTATTATTATTATTATTATTATTATTATTATTAATTATTATGATTATTATTATTATTATTGTAGCTGTTATTGTTGTCATCGTTACGTTATTATTATTCCATCGAAAGGTCGTCTTTGCTACCGGAATCATGGCTTTCTCCCTAAACATTGCTAATTTTTTCACCAATCGCGTAGTGTCGCCATTAACGCTAACGGTTGCTGGTTGGTTGTTTATATAAAACGTTTAACTGGTCTTTTTATAATTTTGCAATAATTGTAGAAATACTACAAATAAAAAAAGCCCAACAAAAAATTATAACTATTATTGGAGGCTACATTCTTATAATTAATATTTTCATATTAATAAAAAAATTTAAAGTATTTGTTCACTACTTCTTCGCTCTTTAAAAGTCACACATGGAAAAAACGGAGGTTACTAATTAGAACTAATTTAGAACTAATTAGTACCACTTGTTTTATTTTGGCTTATTCTAGGTTAAAAATTCCCCTATTTTAGTGCACATTGATAGTATTCAACCAATTTTTTAAACTTTCTCTCAGCTCTCCACTTATTAGCTCGTTTAGATTAAACAGCACCTTATTGCGCTCGTTTTCATTGGCTCTATGTAACGTGCACTGCACATAAATAACTTAAATATTCAAAATAGTTTTCTTAGCCTTACAATTGGCCTAAATAAAGCCGGTGCAAATAACCAATATGTTTAGCTTAATGGTTAACTATTTTGTAAATATAGAATTATAATATATAACACCTAAACTATTAATGATTGGATCATAAAAATAATATTTAACTTATTAACGAAGAGTAAATTTTTTTTGCAACTTAGTTGAGTTAAACTTATTGGTTACTATTTTTATTATATTTACTATTTCATTATTTTATTTTTGAAATGATGATGATGCTGTAAACATTAAAAAAAGATGGTAAAAATTATTTTTTTCCCCAACTGTCGGGTTACAAACAATTTTTAATAAAAACTATAAAATCATTTTTAGAATTTTATTCTAACTAAAAAGCGCTACAACCCTCAAAAACTACCAAACTGACCTATTACTAGACCTATTTAAAATCTCTCGGGAAATTTTTTTAGTATTTATAATGCTTTTTATAATTTAAATATTTATATATTCATATCTCTCACTTATTAAATTTTTTTAATAACGTAATAAAATTAGTGTATTCCTTGTTGTATAAATCATTATTATGAAATATATGAAATATTTATAACAAAGCTATAGATATCATAATTATTGTATATACTGTTATAATTAAATTATTATTTTGGCTAACGGTATTTATTGGATTATAATTATAAAATATTACTTAGATTAAAATTTTCTATTATCGTATTGGTATGTAATTACTATTTTGTTGGAATAATATATTTATTTATAATAATTTATTAGGTAACTTGAAACAAGTACTGACTATTTTACTATCAATATTTATATTCTCAACAAAAATAACTCCTTTAAACGGTATTGGAATTTTCGTGACTATTCTGGGAGGCGCCGGTTATTATTATTAATAGTATTATTATTATTATTATTATTATTATTATTATTATTATTATTATTATTATTATTATTATTATTATTATTATTATTATTATTATTATTATTATTATTATTATTATTATTATTATTATTATTATTATTATTATTATTATTGTTGTTGTTGTTGTTGTTGTTGTTGTTTACTATTTTTACAATAAAACAGGATACTCCTTTATAACTTATATTGAAAATAACAGACTACAACCGCTTCTTCCAAAAACAGAAAGTGCTTAATGAAAAACTTTAATATACTTTTAACTATATTGCTTATTAGTATCCTGCCAACTTCTAATAGATTTTATAATAAAAAGTTTTTTTAGGAAAGTATAATACATGGTAAATAAACTAATAAAGTGTACAACTTTAATGTATTCTTAAGCTTTACTTAATAATTTATTATGAAATAATTATTCCATGTCATAATCCTCATCATCCGTCCTCCTTTTCATTGGTGTAATTGTAAATCCAGCCTCTTCTGATAGGTCTTTACCAGCAGCCTAAATATTAATATTATAATTATAAAAAAAAAAAAAGTAAAAAATATATTATAAATAAAATCTTTTTATAAATTGTAAAGTAAAAAATTTCGACTAATAATAATAATATAACCTTTTTAAGAGCATCGGCTGTAGCCGTAATTATTATTGGATGAGAAGCAGATTTCACGCGATGACTTGGGACCACCACAGGCGTAACGGCTTCCTCCACAGTAGGCGGTTCAGGTTCGGACTAAAAAATTTTAATTTAATAAATTAAAAAATATTGTGTAAGCTTAATATTTTTCTGTATTTAAATTTAATTTTAATTGGTACACATAAATTATAAGTGTATTAGCAATTATAAACTATTAATTCTACTAAAAATTAATGAAGACCAAATATATCAAAAGATTAAAAAAGGAAACAACAGAATTATATAACTATTAAACTTTCTCACTTTAAATAATTATTAAAAGTTAGCATAGACCATTATTTTATTTTTTAATATTTTGTTAATTAATAATAGAAAGAGAATAAAAGTTGAATACAACTAAGTAAAAAAATAATTATAATATTGAGGTCCAAAAGTTTTGTAAGGATCTCGGATATATATAAGAATATTTTTTCCTATTTAAATTAATTATAATTAAACAAACAATAAGTGGGAACGAACTTTTTTTGCTTCAAGCTGGTAATTAGCTGCTGTTAAACACCAGCGCTCGTTAGGTAAATTAAATCCGTACTCAGCGGAATCAATAGGAGGAAGAGGAATTGAATTTTTAGCGGCAGCCAACTCAAGATAAAACTTAAAAAAAATAAAAAGAAAAATAATTAATAACTAACTTAGTTAATAACACTTTTATTAAAAACTATAATTTTCAATTAAGGGAAAAAAGTAAAAAACACCACAGCAGGAAATTAAAAAGAGCCTTATAAATTTAGAGCAATCTAAAATATTTATATACAAATTTATAAAGACTGCGTTCGATTATAAAAAACCTCTCTTGGAGGAGGAGAAGTGAAGGTTTTGTTGATCCTAAATTGAACTGCAAGCTTGACGTCATCGACTTGCAGTTTTTTTCTTCCAGAATGTTCTGCAAAAAGTTTTGCGTCTAGAAGTACTTCTGAAGTGTATCCTTTAAATAAATGTTTTTAAAATTGAGATGTAGTTGGTTAAGGGTAGTAAAAAAGGTAGCAAAAATCATATTATATTTATCAGAGAAACTAAAGTTTGGATTAAGCCAGTATCATATAGCACAACTTTCCTTTTAAAATTATTATATAAGTAAATTATTACTATAAGTTAGGTCGAGAAGCTGATTAACAACTCTAGATTCGTAGGATGTGACACCCATAGAATTTAAAATTTGTCTTATTGCTTCCGCATTTTTAGGCATTGCAGTAGCGTTTAAACTATTATTTGTATTATTATCTTTTGTTTTGTCTGCAAATATTATTTCAGAATCATCTAAAGAGGTCTCTTTACTTGACGCTGGCGTTGCACTTTCCATAATACTTTCTTAATAATTTCTATTAAACAAGCTAAGCTACTTTATTACGTTAGGCATATAGTCTTTTAAATTATTATAATCTACTTTAACTTCTTTACGATGCGAACCGCATAAGATATAGATATTCAGAATAACTTTTATATAAAGTCTTAAAAAAGGAGGGCTAACCGCAACTTTAGTTCGTCCTAAACCATCCGTTATGGAAATGCACGGCGTTTGTAACCTTTTTTCGTACTTCTTAGTAAGAAATATAAAGGAAGCAAAGCTTTTCTTATTATAATATCCCTGTACTTCGTTGTCTTGATTGTTCATATACCCTAAATCAAACTGAGTATGAAATGATGGGAAATACTCAAATTGTTTTGGTTATGTAAACAACACATACACTTCCCTTGCGTAATATCTTATCTTGACTATTCTTAAATTTATTATACTTTTTTAAACCTAACAATTGCGTTGCAAACTATATAATTAGTGATTTTTATTAACTTAGTTTGTTCTAATTTACTCCTGTGAATAACTACACTATCTAACATGTGGTAAATGTGTACTTTTTAAGTGTACTTTTTATATTATAGACGTTACACACTATATGGGGAAAATGAAAGCAGGCAGAGTGAAACTTTTATATAATGCCCGAATTGTTTATCTTCCTATTATACGGCGGGACTACTTTTTTTATTTAACTTGTTTTCTAATTCTTCTACCATCCGGGCTATTCTTTGCTTTTTCGTGAGTTTCCAAGTTTTTTAGCTTGAAAAGTTCAGGCTATTACTATATTAATTATACTCAGAGCTCCGTATTTGTGGGTCAATAGTTCTCCAGCGGTAGTAATTATTTCCTTTATTTTGCTGATCTATATAGTAGCGACCTTCTTGAAGTGCGCTTTCACCGATCCTGGATTTTTACCTCGAGGTAGTTTATTTCCATCCACCTTTCATCTTAATTTGTTACTTTCTTTAATTCGTAAAGAAATTTAACACATATATTGTATGATTATAAAATTAGCTCCATTTCTAATTCTATCGCTTATCAACACTTTTTAATAATAATAAAACGTATGCCATTGTTTAATTTAATAATATTAATATTTAAATTCTATATAATATTATTGTAAGTTGTTTTTTAATTTAATTATATTATTTAGCTTAAATTATACTTTATTATGTTTTATAATAATTAATAGAAGTAATAAAACATTTTATATAGTTACACGTTATATTCTGATACTATTAATTTTCTGAAAATTATACTTGTTACTTAAACCAATTTTAATCCCAAATTTTATTATAATTTTATTAAAAAAAACTTTTACTATATTTTTGTAATAAATATAGTTTTATTTGTACTATAGTCAAGCATTGTTTATTTAAACTTTTTAGATACCAAACTTATAATTTTCCATTATAACTGAAAATTGCAAGAAAGCGTTGCGGGTTTATATATTTTTAATTTATTAATAAGTAAATTTAAAATCATGAAAACATACTTACAATTTATTTTTATTTTTATAACTTTTTATCCAAAATCTTTCGACTTAAGAAGTTGTAGGACTGCTCGCATAGTATGTATAGTATCAGTACCTGATCACTACCTAACAATACACTCTTTTAATCCGAACGGTATACAAAAGCATTTTACAGAGCATCTTTACAAGCACTGTTTCAATCATACATTTAGCTAATAAGTTTTGATGCTTTCTGTATTAAGCTGTTACAGTGGTTCCGGAACAGAAATTTAGTGTTAGGTTACTTCATTCATTATGCAGCTCTTTTTGCCAACGCTTTCGTCCACAACTAATCGCTGCTTGACAATAGGGTTCTGGATAACCTAGCTACCTTGGTCAAACTTTTATAATAGTTTATGAATTGGATATGAAAACTTTTTAAACAAAATTTGTAGGATGTCCATTTAATTAAAGTCAAAGTATTAATATTTATATAAACCAATATTTTTTTTAAAAGATTTTAATTGCTTAATTTAAAGAAAAATAACTTATTTGCAACCACAAGAAAATTGCGCCGCTTACCTTTCTTTTTGGCATGTCTTGGGTGCAAAATTTTTCCTGTAGTAGTACACACGTGCCTTTTTTCACGTGACAATATAGCATTTTTTATAATTTCGTTGTCGTGTGAGTAAGCCCAACTTTCCGTCCATTAGCCAGTCATTTTATTGTGCTAATTTTTATTGTAAATTTTCAACGTCAACAAATTTTTTAAACGTTTCACTAAAAAAACTTAAACCAACATTGATGATTTTTTATTGGCTGATATTATTAACATCGCCCCTTTTATTTTTTAACGACACATCATTTTATCATTATTACTATTATTGAATAAAGTAGCGTGCTTTCCTCTACATGAAAGTATATATCAATTTTTTTCTAAGAAAAGTGATTCAGAATTTATTATGACAAGTTTTTATATGAATAGCTCAACTTTCAGCAGGAGTTCTTCCTGAAGCTTCCTATAAGGATATTATTATTAATGGTTCATTAACGTTTTAGAATAATACTAATAATAATTATTAATAATAATAATAAAGGCTTTAGCTACCGCCTTCACTTTTGTAAAACTTGCATGTTTATGAGGCCGCCTCGAACAAGTCATTGCGCTCGCTGTGATAATTGTGTTGAAGTTAATTATTATTATTATTGTTATTGTTATTATTATTATTGTTATTATTATTATTTTATTTATGTCTTCCTCTTAATAAAGGTTTATTAATAAAAAGAATACTTCATACAATTAAGACCAGCTGCCTTAATTGCATTAACTTTTTATTTCAGAAAAAGCGGTCGCAAATCATAATTTCTTATGAGATTTGCCACTCGCCAATAAAAATTCAACAGCTTTTTATAAAAAGCTGTTGGTTTTAGAAAGTAAAAATATTCTCTCTTCATTCTGCTAAACTGCTGGCTTTTGTTTTAAAATACCAAATTTCTAAAGGTTCTCTTTGATAATCCTTCAAAAAGTTATTAAAAACTCAAAAATATTTCTTTTAACGTGTCAGTTACCAATAATAATTTTTTGTAAGAGAACTTAATATATATTAATTGTCATATACAACTGAAAACTTAATTCATAAATTCTAAGAGCTCGTTAAGAATTGTTTTTGCCGGCATTTAAAACTTTTTATCTTATACCTTTTTTATATACGGACGATATGAAAATAAGTTGATATATTATTCTAAACAACTTTTAAAATTCCAATCTTTTCTTAGCGCACTATAAAGTAGTGCACATATTAAACTTCTTATTTATAGTTGAAAAAGCTTACCGAAAATAGCCGCAAAAACTAATTTTTTTCTTGCTTAAAAATTTTTTTTAATAAAAAATACGTTTAATTTAGTAAAGACCACTTTTTTCTTGCAAATACTTTTGACTGGTACACATTGTTCTCTTTTAATACTAATAATACCATTTACTACGCCGAGCAGCGCTTCGACCACCACTGTCCGTGGGTTTCCAATTGTATTGGAAAAAGAAACTATAAATACTTTTTTGTATTTGTAGTTCTTCTTGTGGTTTACGATCTCTTCATATTCGCTCTGGCAGTCTCACAAATTGTCATGACACTTCCACGTGAACGGTCCTTCCCAACAAAGTAAGTGAACTGCTTCCCACGTTTCTTTTTTTAACCTACCAATGAAAACGGTTAGAAAAGTAACGGCTCCACTTATATTGTGCATTTACACGTTTATTGCGCTGCTGCCGCTCGGATATCTGGCCGGATACCACGTATGTTTGATCGCTTCAAACATGCTGACTTACGAAAAGGTGTAGTGTTGGCTACATGACTATTTTTTTGGTTTATGTTCAACGCGGAGTCGTTGATTTTTTTAATTTTCGTTACCCCTTTAAACATTGACTATTTTTATATTTATTTTTTTCCCTATTTTTTATTGCCACATTGTAGACCACTTTATAAATTTTATAACTCGTTTCCTTGCTAATATTTTTTTATTATACTACAATTATTTTATACTGTTTTTTATAATCTATATTTTAGTTTAAACTGTAACAAAAACTATCACTAACTACTTATTAATAAAATTTTTATTATTACATTATTATAAGATTTCTAAGCGTGTGAGGAAGAAAACCAACCCCTTTGATAAGGGCTTGATAGCGAATGTTAAAGAACGTCTATTGGGCCCTCACTATCCCAGGTATGTTCTTATTAGTTATTATCCCTAATCAATAATACTAATTATTGTTTATTTATATCCCAGTTACTTTAAATATCAATTCGACCAAGCTAAAGAGTTAGAATCCACCAATGAAATCCCGCAAAATGTTTAAGCAGACCAATTATACTAATTTAAATAACTTAGTAAAGTTTAATTTCTAACAAAAACAGCACCCAGTAAATGACTAGAATTTATTATTATTGTTGCTTCTGTTGGTATCCGAGAGATTCGTAGTCCAAAGTGGGAAAAGATATGACTTCGCGAATAGAGGATGAGTTGGTGAGAAGCATCGTGAGCCGGTCTATGCCCATTCCCCAACCTGTCCAATAAAATAGTTATAAACAAGCAAACTCGCATAGCAAAACAATTTTATAATTTTTCGTTAAATATTTTGTTAACTCAAACTTCATTTTTGTTGTATACAACGAAATATCGAACAGCAAAACAATTTTCTATAATATTACAAATATTGTTTTTTTTATTATTTTTCATTAAACATTTTGTAACTCGATATTATTTGTGAGCACATTCCTCAGTCTTTCCAGTAAAAAAATTCAAACTTCAGTAATGTTGTAAACAAAAAAATATATCGATAAAGAATTATTTTCCATAATATTACAAATATTGTAATTATTATTTGTTATTAATATTCTTTAAATATTTTGTAACTCAGTATTACTATTGAGATAAAGTCATTTTAATAAAAATTGAAACAAAACATTTTTTCATAATCCTACGAATATAAAGTTTTTTTAATATAGTTATTAATTATTTTTTAACTCATTGTTATTATAAAGCAAAAGCTAATTACCACCGTCAGTACCACTCAAAAAGTAGAATAATTATAATAAAGTAAAATATAAATATAATCATAAACTTATTGAGTAAAAAAATATAATAAAAAAGTTATAAACTTTTCAATATAATAAATTAATCACTTAATAATCACAAAAGTCGTAAAGTTTATTTAGATAATATAAGCTATAAAAAAAACTATTAATATAAATGTTAATTTAATAATAATACTGAATTTACTTACTATTGTAAAAAATTTGAGTTGCTTTAAAGCTCTTTTATTTCGTTATTATTATTTATAGTAATAAATACAACTCGTTAATTATAGTTTTTAAGAAATTTTTATTACTATTATAATTTTTTTATAATTATTATTTATACATTTGATAATATAAATAAACTTTCATTATGAAAAGATAAATACTTTGGCCTTAATATAAATAATAAACTCAATAAAAAATAATAGATCAATAATATTAACAAAAATCAGAAAACTTATTTATACACTAATAAATCGTAGAACATTTTATATAAAAAGAGTCGTCTAAAAGAAAGCAATGTAGAAACTATTATTATAAATAATAATTATATAAATTATAATAGCTAATGCGTACAATAAATTTATTACTTAAAAATAAACTAAAAAGTTATAAATATATACAAAAGCAACAATATGTTATTACTATAATAATTATTATATCAGACGTAAGAAAAGTTTTCATTAAAGCTAACTTTACAGTTTATTTTCTTTAAAAAAAATTTATAAATGATACTCTAATTAATCTGTAGTATTATAATATTAATTAGGATAAATATTGTTCATAAAGGCCCTCATAAAAAAGTCTTTCTTCCATAAGAAAAAAAAGGGATACATTTTTTATAACTAAACAGTAACGAATCTTTACAATTTTTGTAAAAAAGGCGTGCTTTTGAAGGAAAGCATATATTCACAATATTATTGAGTATTCAGAACATGAAGTTTTTATACACTTTATATTTTATTGTAAAGCTACACTTTTTCTAATGAACTAAGTTATTAATAACATGAAAGTAATAAAAAACTTAAACTTTTCATAATATATTATAATAATTTTTTCTAAGTAAATAAAAAATTTTAGGCATTAACTATATAATAATAAATAAATAATACCATAATATATACTTTTTTTTTATTAAAAAGTAAAATATTAAATATACATAAAGAAATTAAATAATTATAAATGTTATTATTAATATATTACCGTCACACTATTAATATATATAATCCTTTTACTTTTAATTATTGTATAAAAAAATCTATAGACGATAATATAAATTTTATGAAAGAAATATACATTTATAATTCATAGTAAAAGTTTCCAAAACTAAATATACGACAAAGAAAAAGTAAACGTTTATAAAAAAATCAAAATAATAAAAAAACATAAAGCACTCAACTCATTTATAATATATAATATAAACATTTCATTGCAATGCTATAAAGTAAATAAATAATACAACAAATTCATTTTTGTATCTAAAGAAGTTTTTTCTTATATAATAATTGTTTAATGTTTAATGCTTTAGCACAAAATTTTTTTTAAAAATATAAATAGTAAGTTAAAGCAATTTAATAAAGAAAAGGGAAAAAAAAAATTCTATTATTGAAGTTTTATATAGTAAAATCTTTAAAAAAATTAAATATTTTTATTGTTTCATAATTAGCAATAAGATTATAGCCACTAAATATATTTATAACATTGTGAAAGTTTATGTTTTACATTTAAGAACAAAAAAGAATAACCTTTTCTTCTTAAACAGTAAAAAAAAAATTGCATCGATTTTAATATAATCTTTAAAAGTTTCTTAATAATATAATAAAAGCAGAATAAACTTTTTTTAATACAAATTTTAATAAAACTTTATAATTAAAAATTATATAAACTGATATTTAACAAAATATAGACAAGAAAATTATGTAAATTTTAAAGAGATGCTTATATAATATTGCCTCGCAAACAAATATTCATAAAAGTGCACTCAACATTGGGCTTTATTGTTGATTTCGAGGAAAATAAATATTTTAATAAAAATAAATATTTTTTTCTATAATTACAATAAACAAGTAAGCATTGATAATGTGTAAAGGTTTATATAAAAATTTAATACTTAATAATAAATTATTATTAATAAAGAAAATAAATTTTATTTAAGTTTTCTTTTTAGTATTTAAAGAAATACAGAAATAAAAAGTTGTTGATTTCAAAGTTTATACCAATAAAAAGTGAAAATAAAAGTTCTTAAAGTTTATAACTTCATTGCTTCTAAAATTATTAGTATAATAAAAAAAAATTTTCTGTGCTTAACAATTATTTTTTGTTTTCTATTATAATAAATAGATTAGAAGTTCATAAAAATATAAATATTAAAAAATAAAATATAAAAAACTTTCCATCTTTAAAAAAAAAAGTTTATTCAGTCTTATTATTTTTAGAAAAGTATATATAATTATATAAAAACCATCATACTTATGTTAAACTTCAATAAAAAATATGTACTCTTCAAAGGTTGTAATATCGTTTTACAATAATAATTAAATACAAAATTCAAAAAAAGCTAGCTGCATAATAAAAATTTTTCCAAAAATAAAGAATGAAAATTTTTATACAATTCATAATACTTCTTGTTAATACTCTCTTATATTTTTTATATAAAATTTTATAAAGTTATAAATTGTAACTTAAAAAATTTTTAAATATATAGAGATAAGTAAAAAAAAAAATAACAGAAAACTATTAAAAAGAGTTACCGACGGTCGGGGGTAAGCCATACTCGAGAGCCTTGCAAAACTCCTCGTTCATAGCCACGTGGTTGGAACTTTCCCTATTTTGCAACTTTGGGAAAATTTTAATGTGCAACGGAGGTAAATAATAATAACTATTAGTAGCCATGTTTAGATTCGTTAATATTTGTGTTATTTGTACGCGTAATTCATTAAATTTATTGCAAACCCTGCCGACTGCTATATAAACTTTGAAGCGGCATCCATTTTTTTTAATGTAACAGTAAAACCAAAAAAAACTTTAAACGGAAAAAAAAAGCTAAACCCCTTCTGTTATTCCTACCAAAAAAACAAAAACGGGGCCAAAGTCGACTTACGGCAAGAGAAACAAAAAAGCGAAAAACTACCAAACTCTTTCAGATTAACTTATTGCAAATTAAATCATAGGCCGCTGGAAATAGCATCTTTACTGCTACCAATTTTTATTTTTATATCAAAAAAAAAAACTTTTATCAAAATAAAGCAAAGAACAAGAAAAATAATCCCTAAAAAAGGAACCTCTTCATATTCCATAAACTTCTGCCGCTGCTTCATGGGGTCTCCGAGCTCCGTATAAGCGTTGCATAGCTCCATCCCGTTCACAAAGAACTCAAACCTCTCGCTTATGCCGGGCTTTAATTTAAACAATGAAGTAAAGTCAGAAATATATATGAAAGATATGAAAAGGTTTAACCATAATAATATACGAAGTAAAGTAATCGGGGTAATAAAAAAAACTTACCTCGCTGGGAGAGTCGCACGCTAACGGACTCATGAACGACGGAAAGCCCACAAGAAAGGTCGGCTGCACGCAGGATGGCTCAATCAAGCTCGAGACGAGTCCATCAAATAGTTGTATCCGCGAATCGCTGGCTTTAAAGGCGATGCTCTGTCGCGTGCACAGCGTTCTCAAAGTGATCTCCAAGTCTGCCATAAAAAAACTTTAATGAAAGCATGGCTTTTATGCAAGCAGGCAGTCTCCATTATTTGCTTGGCGAATTTCATATAGAGACAGCGATTGCTCACAGTACATAAAAAATACATAGGGAAAAAGTGTTTTAACGATAGGTAAAAAGGGAATTTCTAAACGATTTGTTTGTTATTATAATATTTGTGTTTATCTTTTGGGAAATAAAATAATAAGAAAAAGTTTTTTTTATAATAATTATTCTAAACATATTAACATTAGAAACAATTCAAGTATACTAAAAAAAGTAATAAATAATATATAATTATAACTTTTATCAAACACATCAACAGAAAGCCCCGTTTTTTCAAAAATGGCCTTCAACACGTGGACTCTTGCAAATGGCTTGGAAAAGTCGAGAATAACAGCTTTTCTTGCATGCGGCTCTTCGGCGCTGGAAACTTTTGGAGTAATTTCAACGGCAAGCGCCCCCTTCACAGCCCTCACCACGTGGCGAAACAATGCTTCCGTGCGAGCCACGAGCCCTTTCATATCAGCATAAGCCTCATAAAATTCAATACTAGTGAACTCCGGATAATGCCGGTGGCTAAACCCTTCATTTCTTGGGGCCGCCGTAAAAATAAAAATAATAATTTCTTAGATATAACTAATAATAAGACCTAAATTGTTTTCCAATTTCGTAAACCCGTTCAAGACCACCAATCACAAGAGTCTAGATATTAAAGTTATAAAAATATATTATAAAATTTAGCTAACAAAATAGAAAACCACTGCCTTTCAAACTTTTAACCTTAAAAAAAATGTTATATATATTTTTTAAAAAAACCTTTAAAAAAATTTCGGGTGCGATCCGCAAGAAGAGTTTCCTATCCGAACTAGAGAATTTAGTTACGAACGGCTTTGCAAGCGCTCCGGTGGCTGTATGAGAAAGCACCGGCGTTTCTACCTTTCTTATAGGTCGTAAAAAGTAACACTTTTTCTTTATTTTTAATTAATACCTCTACAAAATTATTTTCATCAAAATATTTCCTAATTTCACGTATTATTTTAGACCGAACACGTAAAATATTGGAAAATTTTGAGGAAACAAGCATGTCCAAGCAGCGATTTTTATATCTCAAAGTCTTTTATAATTAATATAATAACAATAATATTCTATCTATTTTTTTTATAAATAAATCTATAAGTAAAAACTTTGTTTAGCAACTGCTTCGGTATAGGATGATCGCAAACCGCTAAAACCTTAATTTTTGTGCTAAAAAGGCTTAGTTCGCCTGTTTTCGTTTTTCCAGGAAAGCCTATAACTTCTATATAATAAGTAAATCAGTTTTTAATAATTGATAGTGGTGGATAAGTACGGGATAAAAAAAATCCGATTTATACTTAATTAAAAAAGAAGAAGAACAAATAAAAATATATAAACCAATAACACAGTTATTTCGGGCAATTTTATTTATATTATCAAAAGTATTTAATGTTTCAAATCTCTTAGAATTGGCAACCACTTGTAAGTTATTACAATCTTGAGCAAGATCATAAAATATAAGATTTCTTCCAGCTGTGCGCTTTGTTATGATCCTGCCTTTAAAATAATGTATTTTTTGAGTAAAAAGGGTTATTTCCTTGATATTAAAGGCTTCTAAGTATTTTAAAATAACAACATAACCTGCTATCTGTATAGGAATTTCCATAAGCTTCTCTCCTGGTTTGAGCTCCCCATATTTTTGCCGGAACTGCGAAAGGCTATAATAATTGATAGTTTTCTGAAAGTGTCGAAAGGAATTAAACTCGGAGCTATAACTGTTGCTTGACAAAGTAAGAGATAAACAATGCAAAGGAAGCTTAAAAAAGTTCCCGGGGGATCTTGGAAACCACAACATCCTTTAATCGCTGGTAAGCAAGTCGGAAGCGAAGTCATAATCACATGCTAGCGAGCGTAGTTGTTGTCCCCAAAAGTTAAACATCAGAAGCACGAAAAAAAAAGTTCCTCATCCGGGAATCGAACCCGGGCCTTCCGAGTGAAAGTCGAAAATCCTAAACCACTGGACCAATGAGGAGGTCACCGAATCATTACCCCTATAAATAGTATATTAAATTATTTATGTAGCCCTTGACAAAGAAAGCCGTACTTGCGTACAGAAACTAAAACATATTCAAAATAATTATTTTTTACGGCGCAAGCACTGAATAGTGCATTATGTTATATTTCCCTACATCTTCCCTTAAAATCTCACCTATAAAAGCTGTAAGCCAAGTTTAAAAGGTTAAGTGGAGAAGGTGCGAGGTTGCTAGGCAATACCAACCTATCATTCAAAATTGTTTTAATGTTCTAATTTCTTTCGAAAAAATTTCTATAGCGCTTAATTAATAATTCATATTATTTATCCTTTACATATATAAGTTTAGATTAAGATTTTTTTAATGTAGTTTGTATAATGGGAATTGCTTTCTTACTTGCATCTTTATCGCTCTTTGAAGTTTGAGTATCAATTAAAACAATTTTGCACGTGCCCTCCCATCATTCAACATTATTTCAATCTTTATACGATCGCTTCATCATATGGGGGGTTAATAAAACATTTAAACGATAGGCCCTTAACATAATAATGCATAAACTTTAAGTCGATAATAAAATGAAGTAGATCAAGGCAAGCATTGTACTGAGATCGCCAGTGAATGTGTTACTATTGCCACATTATCCCGTATCAAAGCTCACTATGATTTAAATCCTCCTTGCAATGAACCTGGGCGTTTATAAAACTTAAAAATGCAAGCTGTAGCTCGACTTTTACGACAAGTGACATCTGGTGCAAAAATCATAGAAACAACGTTAGAAGACCAGTTTTCAGATCGACCGTATCGAGAGCATTGCTTTCTGCTGGCCTCCATGCCAAAAAAGAAGAAGGTGATTAAACCCGCTTTGACCAGACTGTCACAAGGGACTAAGATTTTTTGAGTAGCGAAGAAGTGCGCAGACTGGTCTATTTGTGACCGGGAAAAGTAATTTTGGACGAGACCAAGATCAATCGATATGGTTCAGATGGTATTAGGTATTGATGAAAGAGATCTGGCGATAATCGAATACTTGGCTAATAGGTGGTGCAACGTATAAACAGAGAAGAGGAATCGATTATGATTTGGACTGTATAACATGTAAGGGGGTTGGATATTTCAAAAAAGTGACAGGGAGCATCATCGCAAACACGTCTTCACAGATTATTTAGGATGAACTACCTAGAACATGCGATTGGTATAACCTAAATCTTGATAAAATGTTTTTCTCAGCAGGAAAATGTCTTATATCACACTACACTTTCGATGCGGCTATGTCTCCAATTATAGTCGTTTCAAGTGCCAGACTAGTTTCCAAACTTCCTGTTATCAATCCCATTGAGCATGCATGGGAAGTTAAAGAGGAAATTAGCTCATACGACTCATCTCCTGCTAACTTAAAAGAGCTTTAAAATCCTGTACAATCAGAATGGAAAAATATAACACCGGATCAATGCTAAAACCTAATTGACAGAATGCCAAAGAGGATAGAAGCAGTGATGGGTGCAGAAGGGAGCTGTAATGTTATTAACCCCCATTTACTACACGATATTTCCTGCGTGCAATTTTGTTGCTTAATCTATTAACTTTATAAGCTTCAACTATTAAAACAATTTAAGCTCAAGTATTATTAAAACGAAGCTAAAAATAGAAGCTTACTGTGTATAAATATTAAAGTAATCCATTACGTAAAAAAAGATATTCTATCTTAAACTTAAAAAAGCTAATATTGAAACAGTTTAAAATGCTTGTGCATGCTTCATGACATAGATTGGAAAAGCGTATTTATAAGTCCCACGATGGTTCTTTTAGATTGAGCTAAAGAACAGCAAGCTTCTAAAAACTTTAAAATTATAGGATTAACTCTAATTTGGAGCTTTATTGTCTTGTAGCTGTTCATTTTTATCTTATTTATCACAATTATTGTGCTAGTAACCTGCTAAGAGGTCTTACGTTAACTAGAAATATTTTTCTTTGACAAGCTCAAAATTTTTCACTGTACAGTGCTTAATGACTGGACATAAACAGGATTTGACCATATTTTTGGCGGAGACAACGTAAAGTAAAGCAGCTTTAGCTGTAAACCACCTATTTTTATACGTACAACTTTTGACGCCAGTAATTCTTTTTTTAACAACAAAATTTGGTTTTGAATTCCAATTAAAAAACTAGTTTGACCCCCTCAAGCACCAGAGTAAAATTTTTTATTGGGTAATTAGAATTTTTAAGATAGCCATAAAAAATTTTAGGTTATTTCGAGATATTTTTATTTATTGCTTCGTTCATAATATCATCTTTACGGACTAACCTAGCAAAATTATTTTTTATAATTAATCATTGCATAAACAACTTTTTAATGTTTTAAAACCTATTATAGTGTTGAATGATAAAGACCTTAAAAATAACCGCAAGGTTGTTGTGGCTGCAACTTTCCTGCATGAGAATAAGAAAACTTTAGGTGGTTAAGGCCCCATGGTTATTTCCAGTTTTCAATATACTAAAAAACCCACCCAAGCTGTAAGTGATAAGACGAACGCAAAAAATGGCTATTACTCTTGTCTGGAGTCTATACTTAATTTTGTATACAATGCATGAAATTCCACCTAGTTTAAAAAAATTTTAATTAGGTTGACTTGAAAACCTTTGCATTTCCTCTATTAAAAAAAAGTAACCCGTAGTATAGTACTTTTTGTTTTAATAAAAAATGCTTCAAGAGTTATTAGCAATCCTTTAGATTCCTAATCTAGTTTTTGTGTGTTTGTTTGTTTACTTTTGTTTTGTTCTGGTTTTCGGTTTTGGTTTGAGTTTCAATCTAAACTTCTATAAATGTTATATCTCTTATATACCTTTATTTTAATCAATTTTGCTATTTTTAAACTTCACTCTACTAGGACCTAAGGTTTTATTTTTAAACTTTTTTTTTATTTTAATTATTTTACTATTAATACTTAAGCGGTATTGATAATTTTAAGTGAAAAGAAAGTTTAAAAATAGTTATACTTGTGTCTGTTGCTAAAAACTTTTGTAATAGCCTTTCTTATGAGAATCTTTACTTTACTTAATAAGAAATTTAGAAAAATGCAAAAAACTGACTGAAAACTGTAAACTGAATACGTGTGCTACCTTGTAATAGTATACTTTTATTAACTTTTATATATGATTTATACCATTTTACAACCTCTCTGTAAACTCCTAGTAATTACTGGGCCGTGTATAATATTTTTTATTAGTGTGGTGGTAAAGCCTTATTTTATCAGCTTTTTATCAAGGAAATGGGGTGGAAATAATAACTATACTCATACCCATTTATGGAGTATGAAAGAAAAGTTAATACCGGAACTTCAAGTTAAAAGACTTCTCAAGGCTTTATCTTTTAAAAACTCTGTAAGTTTGCCTAGTATTTAGGGAAAATAATTTTTTTTTAAAGTCTAAAATAAAAGCAAGCTAATACTTTGATCTATAACGTTAGTTAACATCCTGAAAGTGCGACCCCCGTCAAAGTAAAATAATTTTTACTTATCCAACTACAATTTAAGTAGAAATATAGTTTTCTATATAAGCCTTATTATTATAAAAGTTACGTTACCACAGGCCATCCGGCTATTAATTTGTAATAGATGAATAAATATGATCTGCCTAAAAAATTTTTACTGAGTTTCCCTTCTTAGTAAAGAGATTTAGCTGGTAGTTCAAAGTCATCTCTTCCTTCCAGCGTCTTCTGGGGTTTTTCGCCCTTTAAGAACTGAGAGTAACCTTTATTTAGTGCCATAAATTTAAGTTTTTATAGCAAAGCTTAGAAGCTAACTGCTTAACAACAATCACATTTAATTCTTTTGGTCGTTTTAATTACTTAAAATACTTCGAGGTTTTCGTAGAAGTTTAATTATTTTAATTTCCCTCAAATGTTACAACAAAAGTTAATCTCTAAATTACTCTACCGGCAATAATACTGAACTAAAAATCTTTACTGTATAGCTTTTAGCTCTTTCATTTTGAAAATTTTTAAAATTTCACAGGCGTATTCTAATAATGTGTTAAATTTTTTAAAATCGTGCACTAATTACACTATAAGTTTTGTTATTTTGTTGAAATAATCTCAACATAGTGCATTCTTTTTTTAGGTCCTTAGAATTTATAGTTAAATAAAACTTTTTCCATTTTCACCTATTGGAGTACTTGTAAAACCTTTTAGTATAATTCGGCTGTCGAAAGGCTACATAAAGTAATTTTATATATTATGTTTACGCAA